AATACCTATGTCTTGTTTTGAATGGCTTGGGGATTTGGACTAATTTGGTGATTCACAATAGATGTTGGAGTGGTATGGCGATAGTTTCTTTTGGGGTGTTTCGTGTGGTGGCACGTTACGAGGGCTTGTGGTTCATGATATTGTTTCCTTTGTTCTGCATTCAGTAATGAGGAATTTATCTTAGGTCAATTGATCCTTCAAGCATAGAATGTTGCTTGTTGCTTTGGACGTCGATTGGGTGGTGATGATGCTTTCTTCAAATCTCTGAGTCTTTGACATGTCTCCACTTTTCCAAGGGATGATATGATATAGCTTTAAGGCCTGAAGTTGTGATCACTTGGGTTTGATGTTGGTTGGGTCCTTCATTACTTTGTGTTTAGATGTTTCTGAGAAATGGAGGGTTTGAGTATGATGAGTTGTAGGATTATAGGGCACTATTGTTCTTTCAAGGTTTTTTTTTTTATAATTAGGAAAAAGGGAATTCGAATCTTACTCTTTAAGTAAAGAGATAATGCACCAACCAATGAGCTAAATGCTTAAATGCTTGTTCTTTCAAGTTTGCTATATTGTGTCTTTACGATTTGTGAACATGATTCTTCGCCTCTTTTGTTGTCGAGGCATTGCAAGGGTAGTTTTTTTAGAATTGGCTCGAAAGGTTTAAAACCTCGTACACATGTAGGATTGGGCAGTAAATTTTTTGATAATTGTACAGTTCTTCACTACCTAAACCAAGCGTAGATGCCATAGAAAGTCTTTTCCAAATAGGAAGAGACTTGGAATGGCACCTTGGTTGAAGAGGCCAATAAATCGATTTTTTTTTTAAAAAAAAAGACCGAGTGAGAAAATATTTCTCATTGTGATGAAGAATTAAGTTTCTCATTAAATATGAGTGAGATTGACATCTCTAGTTGTATTAAATGGTCAGGATTCAAAAATGTAATACAAAAATAATGATAATGTGGGTAGATAATATAATTTTTTTGTGAAAAATTTTACATGTTGGATTCGAATTACTGTATATCCGCACCCTTCATCATTTCCTATATAAATGTGACTTTAATTGGATTGCGTTCGGCTATACCTTAGGCCTCTTGCCGTGTCTTTTCTTCAACCCAAGACTGTACAACCACACGGTCTGGGGCAATGGGCTTAAGAGTTGAGCTCGCAAATGGAACCAATGGTCGTGTTCACCAAGCATCTTCCTAGGATTGACAAACTTATTTTTATCTAATCTGTGTGCTTGAGTACTTACTTAGTACATTGGTACATACATTCTTTAACTGTTTATTTTTCTTGTCACACATGAAATAATATATATCTAAAAGACAACTAATCAATTTGTCTTTGTCTTGGTTCATATGACAGGGAATTTAAGATTTTGTATATTAAAATAATGCTTAATGGCCACAGATGTTAATTATACTTTTCATCTTTTATGCTTATTTCTTTATTTGGTGAATCACGAGACTTAGTATTCCAATGAGCTTTAGGGTTGCATATCCCTTTTGACTTTGCTTGCAAGAGGAATAAGGTTCCACATTCATATTATTTTTCCTCCTAATGTCAATTTCTTTTGAATTAAATGGCATATTAAATACTGGCACTAATTTGTCAACGACGACTCCACTTTTTATGTTAACTTTTAAAGAATTTAATAAAAAAATTAAACATAAACATTACAATCTATATATATGTGTGGTAATGCCTAAGTAGTCCCCCTCTATTGTTTGACTAAAAACTTTTTAAATTATAAATTTAAGTCTCCTCATATATGGATTTGATTTGATTTAATTTAATTTTAGGTTGATTTTATTTGTCTATTAATTTCTTTCACGAATATATTATTTTACAAGCAATTCTTTTCAAATGGTTGATCATAGTTTGGACGAAAAACCTCATTATATGAAAACAAGCCGGAAAACCAGCAAAGCCACTAAAAAATAAATAGAGTTTGAGATTCCCATTGCTTAAT